AATTTTAATATGAGATCTAGGGAGTATCCATTTGCAAGACTGCATATAATATTCTAGAAAAATGCTTAGGTCATGGAGCAAAAGTTTTATAATGCCACAGCTGCGGATTATTAAAAAGAGAACTCTGTCTTCCAAAAGAACCACACTGATTTTAATGAAAGGCGCTTTCATATTTCAAATTTGCAATAGCCTTGTAAACCGCTTGAAGCAGCCCACACATAGTAAAAGTAATTATAAGCTTACAGTACACTAGTGGGCTGACATTTCAAAATGCAGACAAAGAGAATTTTGTTTTCTAAAGAAAAAATTTTCAAAAGGCAGGGTTCACAGCATTGAGTACATTCAGGGAAATGGATACAATGAAAGTGAACATCTTGATAAGTATGAGATGAGAAGAGAAGCTCAAAAGAGCCAAATGCACTGATGTGACTGTAGCTGGCTAAAATGCTACTTTGTGAGTGACAGCCAAGGTGAAAACAGAGTGCTTTACATTAGCCAGATGCTCGACTGTGTTATTATATAGAATGTTTAAGGTGTCCACTTCTCTGTTCACCACTTTTGGAAAGAGAAATACTTTACACCTTTACAAACTTATTTTCAGAATGAGATGACAACGCAGCTCTCCTGTCCACGTAGGTGTGCTATGTTTAGAAATAAGCCCTTTTTGCCCTGGTAGTTTCAGATCTATTTATAAACTTACCACAGCTGTCTCAATGTCTCCTGGTGAGGGGCTGATTTCATCAGGGGAAGTTACAGAAGAGCGAGTAGTGCGTGGAGTTCGTGGAGAAGGGAGCGTATCCCACGCGTTGTATCCACTTGGAGGGGGAGTTGGCATCTGAACCCCTGAACGCTGGCAGCAGTTCTCCGGATTTGACATCCATGCTTCAAGTAACTTCTCCCTGTCCCAGTCTTCAATAAATATACAGATACAGGAAATTATGCAGGTGACAATGTTTAAAATATGTTTTGTAACTGCACCCTCAAAAGAATATATAAACACTAAGCTAAAAAATTTAGAAAGAAATAAGTATGATAAAGTGTAAGTGAATGGAACTTTAGACATTAAATTTTACAGAACACATTCCAAGATAATACATAATGGAATGTATTTATGTAAATAATTGCATTGCAAGCATCTTCTTTCCCTGTAATATCAGTCTTAAATAAAATTATTTTTATTATTTATTTACAGCAATTGTAGTAGCTAGGAGACTCAATCAGAAACCAGAATTGCAGTGACTTGCAAAGACAGATCAAAATGTAACAGCCCTTGCACCACAGAATTTTCAATATTTTCCCTTTCCATGAAAAAAGCAATTGTTCAATATAGATTCACTTTTATCTATTGTGTTTTTTTAAGATGATGAAGCCAAGTGCTACAAATGAAGGAAGAAGACTAAGATACAACTGGATTACAAAAAGATTTGCGACCTAATGAGCTACCAGTCTTTATATAGGCATATGAGTGATGTATTTCTGGGGGAAAAACAGAAAAAAACCCCACCTGATTGCAAAAAATATTTCATATATTCTTACTACATTTTATTCTATAATTGTTACTGTATGCTTTATTTTTATTCATAATTAACATTGCCCATTTATATACAAAAAAGAACTAGTGAAACAAATTTTATGATGTATGAAGATCTTAAAACTAAATCACATCTTTCTTAATCATTGTTTGAAATGTTTTCTGTTTCTGATTCCTAAGAGTAATACTAAAGATATCTTAAGAATAGTGTTTTTTTCTATTAAAAATGCTTAAAAGTTCCCATTTAAATATAAATCTATCAAATTCCTATATGGACTTGAATCTAAAATCATCAGCACTATGCACAGATCAGATGAACTAGAATTTCAGAAGGAAAGATAAATTTCCCAATTTTTTCCTATCGCTTTAAATAAATATTTTAAAGGGGTTTTTTTAATGTTAGGTACTCCCACTGGAAACTCATTAACCAAAAGATCTGTGTTATTTTTATTGAATTTTAGATTTTATAAGAAAAAGATAAATAGTATTCCTATACTGTATTAATGCTGGAAAAAGAAGATACATGTTCTAAGCACTGAACTTAGTAAAAATATTGCCCCTGTCAAATGATTGCTATCATACTAAAATCTGGTCCCTCCCAATATGAAAAAAAAGCCTTTGAGCTGGAGATGATTTACTGATCAGGTGCTTACTTGCCTAAGTTAAAACATATCATGGGTTAGTTTAATTTCATTTGATTAAAGACATGGACCCTGAACATATTTACACTTCAAAAATTACAAATTTTATTAGCATTTTTCAAATTACCCTGAGCTTATAATTTTTCAGAGGGGAGCTGACTGATGCTAAGATACAGGTAAAATTTGCTAAAAGTTTTCTTGAGCTCCTTTGTTTGTACTGTATCTTTAAAATTACCCAGGGTTAAGACATGCTACTAAATGGATTCCACTGTGTCTTCTTTACTAACTTAAGAGTTCTAGTAAAATATGAGGTAGTTATATTTGCTGAATTGCCTCTCTTTTATCCTAAAATCAACTGCTGTATAATGAACTAGAAGAGAAACAGGAACAATGTTGAAAAAACACTTGTAGAAAAACTGTAAAGTTATTTATTTTCATGACTGCCATAATAACATTTTTTTATTTTGGCTCTAACTCTACATACTTCTGTCTCTTAATTAAAAAAAAAGAAAAAGAAAAATACACTCTTAATTCCTACAGCCTGTGTCAGTAAATTGATATAGTTATACGATAAAAGAAAGCAAAGTTTGTTGGATTAAATACTACATGTCTGTAAACTATTAAAAGTAGTACGTAAGAATGATCTTTCCAAGAATTTAAAACACGCTTTTCATACATTAAGTGTGAATTAAGTTAAGATTTCATATTATTCTTTTATGGATTTCAAGATTAAATGCAAAAACATTACAGTTTGGCATATTTGATGTTTCCCAATTGTCTAAGCCTTTGTAAATAGCTGTTATTACCTTTACTAGGCTGAATCAATTCTATGTCTTCATTTCAAATAAAATAAATTCTGTTTGAATAATTTCCAGCATATGACTACAGCTACAGGCAAAATAGTTGACTTTCTCATGACTTGCAAATTGTCTGTGCTTCTTTCTCCGCACTGGCCGATTGCATTAAGTTACTGCTACATCACTAAGGCAACATCAGTAGAATGACCTTTCCAACACAGACTGATTTCTTCTCAACTTTCAATTCCTGCTTGCTAGATGCTGGCAGACATTTCTCCACAGTTTACATCAACCTCAGTGCTTTTGGACTTATTATGGACTGTGCTGCGAGTTTGAACAGTATTGCCATCATCATCATCTTCAAAATATCTGCACACGTTACAGAATCTGCCTACCCACTTAGTCAGATATTTAGTAATATTTAGTCTTAATGAGAGTATTCTGAGAATTATAAGAATTAAACAAATAATCAACGTTAAAAAAATGTATATGCAAAGACTGTGCCTTAAATATCATCAGACTGGCACAAGTTCATGTTGACTTAATTCAATGTTAAAAGGAACACAAATACCACCTATTGAAAATAATGTAAGAGATGAGTTTCAGGTACCATACCTCCTCAGGAAAGTCTGCCAAATGTTCTGGGTTTAAAATAATATTTTCCTATTTCACTTTTCCCTCTCCCTTTTATTCTCACAAGGAGCCCACAAAAATAGCATATGAAAGCTTAATCCATCAATACGGTGATGCGCGTGCAAACCATTAACTGCCTGAGTAGTTCCTTTGGCATATAGTAACAATGCAGAAGCTTCAGTAAGCGTAAGTTTTGAATTGCTGATCAAAGCCTAAAGCTTCCACTGAGTTTCAGAGTGATACTTTTGTCTGGAGCAAACACACTGAATTCAGTATATCCCCATTCTGACAACCCCAGTTTAAATTACACGACAAGAGCACAGACTGATTTCAGTGAAATTAAACTAGTTACAGATATACACACAGAAAAGTATACCCTGTATTAAAAGAGTAACTATAAAAATCATTCAAACGCCACACTAGTATGCTTTAAACCCCAAGGCAATTTCCAACCATTTATTACAATGGTCAGACTGCTTTTATTGCAACAATAAATAAATAAATTTTGATCCCGTTTTATACACAAATGTATAGTGGCAGAAAACCAATGGTCTGACAAAAATAGGTACAATGAATTTTACTTTTTTGACATATAAAACCATGAAAGTTCTACTTCTGTGTCTCCCACTAAAGTAGGAAAGCTCTGTTTCTCCACACTGTTTAAGTTAAAATGTCTTCCATTATAATTCCTAGTTTGAGTCACTTTCCTGTCAGCTTCCCTGTCTGCCTCAATGCTTTTTGACATACTGCAGCTGTACTTCTTTCTGAAGTACTGTGTGAACTGTTTCCTGGTATTTGATTAACTGCTACTTCTCTTTTACTTCGAAATAAAAAGTAAACATACAACTGCAATTTTGGTTTTGCTGAAAACAGTTTCTTTAGTCTTTAAGGTTTTGGATTACCATGTGCCCGAAGTAGAGCTTCTGCAGTAAAGAGCGGGGCTTGGAGCATGTCAGCAGATTCCACGATCAGCATATCCTTAAGCCTTCGCAGGTCCTGAAGTCTTAGGCCCTCATATGGCTTTGAGAAGAAGACGACAGACAATTTATGCCTAGCAGTGTTTTCCAGTTACGTCTCTAATTCCATATTAAAATGAAAACACTCAAAGCACTTTTACTGATCATCATCTCAACTGTGAGGTAACATGTGACAAAATTTATTCATTGCGCAGACCAATGACCATGTAAAGTTATATGGAAACACTGTCATTTTACAATATTTATAGTATGATCTTTGTACATTCCAAAATCTAAAAGACAGTATCTCTAGAGTTCTCCATTATAGCTGGAGGCCATGTTCAAATGATGAGTTAACATTGACTCTCTCGAGTCAAAAAAGCTAGATTTTCACAGAATCCCACTGAATTTTGAAGTGATTAAATCTCAAATATTGTGGCATGGGTATGAGAATGCATGACTAGATTTGAGCTAAGGATTTCAGGGGAGACCAAGAGAAAGGACAGGTTAACATACATTGCATATAGATCCTCTGACACTAACTTTATACATTAATTGAGACCTATTAACTTTGAATTGATCTGGAGGAGGATACATTGAGACATTAGATAGTGAGAAGGGATACATTTGTGAACAGAATCAGGAACAGGTCTTTTGAGGCAATATCAACCCTCACAGAAATGGAGAAGTCAGTCATGAATAGGATAAATGAGACGTGCAGTTAGAGGTTCACAGAAACACAGAATGGTTGAGGTTGGAAGGGACCTGCGGATGTCATTTGGTCCAACCCTCCTGCTCAAGCAGGGTCACCTAGAGCCAGCTGCCCAGGACCGTGTCCGGATGGCTTTTGAGTATCTCCAAGGTTGAGGATTCATTGTACATGAAGATGTCAAAACTCTCTTTGAGAAACAGTGGCCAACTCTGATAGCCCTACACAGTCAGAGCAGATCATCCAGCTGCCTTCCTGGTCTGGAGCTCCATCCCCTTATTACAGCATTAAACAAAGGTCAAATTAGAAAAACAAAAAGGCAATAATTTCAGGATTCCGAATTAGCTCCAACCAAGATACTGGAGATGCATACACATGTTTTGCAGACTCCTTTTTAAAACTAAGAAAGGAAGAACATGACAGCAAATAATATATTTGTTAGTGTTGCACAGGGAAAATGCCCAAAAGGTAGAAAGAGAAAAACAAGTGGGAGGATATGTACAGAGAATAGATACAGAAAGGATATGTAAAAAAATTATTCTTACATGCACTGGTTTTATTTATATAAAGGATAGCTAACAGAAGATTTAAAGCATTTGACATAAAACTGGTATGTGCTCAGGACTAATTAGGAACCTGGCCACCAAACGGCAATTGTCTTCACCAATCTGGAGAAGAAAGGACACAGAGCAGCAGCAGTAACATATAACCACAGTTAAGACCACACACCATTATTATTTACTTTCTATATTTTGATTTTATGTAGAGCATAGTCCAGGACCCTCCAGTGCTAGCTAATATGTGCACACATGCATGCATACATACACAGACGTGAAGCAAAAGACTGGTTCTGTCTTCAGAAGTTTACAATCTAAGTAAAAGTCTACTGTGCGCATAACCCTTTGAGGATAACAAGCAGCAAGGTATAAGAGATGGGGAGAAATGGATACCTGGGCTTCTAAATAATTTTCTTCTTTTGAGACACCTACTCTAAAAACATAACATGCTTCCTACATTCTAGATACCACAATAAAATCCATAAAATGCATCTAAAACCATAACTGACTCCCACAAGGGCCTCTTCTGTAAGTTAGTCAGTAATATAAACAGGAACTTCTTGGTATTAGAAACTTTGTGATTGGCAAGAGTAATGGTGCCATGACTCTGCACTGGGTCTTTGTCCTTTTTGAAAAAGCAAGAAAAGCAGAAGAGAAATGGACTGTGAGTGTCCTGACCTTTATCTTGATTGCCCAAGTTCAGGGAGTTTCTGTACGTCCTTCCACTGCTGATCATTCATGACTCAGTAAAGGACAATCTGAACGTTAATGGCTTGCACTGAAATAAATCTGGGCCACTTGATTCATAGCATGCTGGAATTTGACTGACCTACTTAATTTCTTACAAAAGAGATCATTTATAAAAACATGTCAGAGAGACAGGGATACAAACAGCTGGGTGCCTGATTGATTATAATTGCAAGAATATTCTGAAAAAAAATGGAAGCAAAGGGTAAATCATCTTGACTGAATCTGAACTGCATTTTGAATTGCAATTGTAAAAGTAGCTTTGTCAGCACAATAGTATTCAATTCTTGAAGACCACATATATCATAAAAAGAAATGTCTTTTCTGTTAAACCTGCAACATACATGCATATATTAGGACCTAGTATTTTATCCTGAACTGCAGATACGCTCAAAATTATATTTAACTGATTGGTTCTAGGTCAAACACTGGCAATTATCTCCCTTGAGTAACAGACTATTATATTATCTCAGCTGGAGCATTCCACACAACCCAGCAGGGATTTTTGGATCCTGCGGTTTTTAAGAATCCTAATTTTATCTTTTTAAGTAATGAGGGAAATATTCCTTAAGAATGTGTTTGAAACTTTAGACATTTGTTTCATAAAATATGAGCCCACAGAAGAAGCTGAAAGAAAGGAAATTTTAGGCTGTCGCTATTAAGTAGCTTAATCTGGTAATTCCAGAGTGAAGGCTTTATACAATGAGAACCCTTAAAAATGTTCATGTGTACAAGACATAGTCTTGTAGAGACTTGCGAAGACAGTCTTTAGTTATAAGGATGTATACCCTTTATGTAATATCATAGAGGTTTGTTCTTAACTACTTCAAACGTTGATGACTTCTCTGCACTGCCATATACTGTAAAGGATTTTGATTACAGCTCATGATGCTCTGAGACCTCCTTTAATATTCATTTATGGAGGAACTCTTTATTGATATTTGCTGTGAAAAAGGCATTGTTCAATATCAGCATCATTTAACTATATAATGATTTTGGAATACACTATTTGAGTTACTACTTTAATCCACTGGTGAGCTTCTCACTACAGATTTCAAGACTTTTGTATTCTCACAAGCCCTTCTTTTTAACTATTTTCTTCTCATTTTTTTACCACTAATATTTAGATATCATAAATTTTATAATTGTTTTTCTCCTGAAAGTTCTTTTAATATGTAAGCTGATTATTTTAACAGTTCATTTCAAACTATTATTATTTTCTTCACTTTTAAAGTACCATTAAAATAGACAAAGGCAAAGTAACTCTTTGCTACAGTGACGACTGTATAATTAAACGGTGTCAAATATACTTCATGTAAATATCCTCCTTTATGGGTGGATGGAGTTCTATAGTTAAAGGAGTCATATATTTAAAAAATTATCTATACTCCACTTAACTCATTCAAGTATAATTATATGCACTATATGTATATAAATGTGTATATATCTTAACTACCTGTAGTCCCCTTCTCTCTTTCACTTAATAAACCATTTTCTATCTGTAGAAATAAAGTACATTTTAATTATTTTAGATAACTTGTGTTTATGATATTTGCATTATATATATATTTATGACATCAATTCTGGAACTGAAGAAAACCATCCAATTACTATACACTCAATAAATCTGTGATACACTCACTAGCAGTGTATTTCTACAGTATTCAGTGGCACATATGTAAAATGAACTAAGAAATTATATACTTTGCTATTGCACACAGTATTTCCATGAGTCTGAGAGCCAAGACTGTTCTGGATGATCTGCTGTGAAGTTCTGCTCATTCCCAGGTGCTTCTTATGTAAGTTTAAAACATTGCATGATTGCATGATGTGATTGAAATGAAGGTGCCTGTTATCTTCCAGGGATACATCACCAAGAGAAATATGCTCCCATGCTAGAATAAACAGCAAATTAAAAGACTGTGCAAATAAAACAACCAAAATTTATAAAAGCAGTTTAAAAAAAAAATCAGTTACAGATATTATTTCGTGTAACTTCAATTAGATTTAAAAGATTAATATAAACTTAGATTTTATATAAGGGAGAGGGTTTTTTTGAGATTGTTCATCAACGAAGTAAGAGAAAAGAATCAAGACAAAGAAGGTCATCTGAAATACTCTCCTGGCTTGTCTTCTAATACCCTTTCCACTGCCCACACATCACAGATGGATCTTCTTTTGCTACAACTAACTACAGTGTTAAGAGAGTCATACCTTATACTCCATTCTTAAAATATTTAGCATTTCCATTTTACATAGGGAAATACAGATTATGTGTGTGTTGGTACATTGTTTTCCTTCCAGACTGCATTTTGTGGAAACACACTTAAGAATCATGTTTGTGTTTCAAAACTATTAGGGCCTGTTTGCTACTCTAATTTGATCACTAAAAATGTTTGAGGTGTACTAAAAACAAAGTAAAATAGAAATGTTGCTTTAAAAATACGCTTCAGGGAGCACTGTAGTAAAATGAGATTTTAAAAGATTGGGTAGCTGTATGACAGAAATGGATTTTATTCAGAAACCCTTGTGGAAGGAGTAAACTGAACTGCTGGAAGATGGACAGCTCTTTGCTGTCGGGCTCTCAAACTTGAAATGTGGGTCTACTCAGCAACCTGGATTTCTTAATGGCTTGAAAGCCTCTGTAATCAAAGAAAGGTATGTGCAGGTTATTTTTTCAACTATTACAAGTGTTTCAATTCTAAACATGAACACTCACATAATTCCTTGGTAATATTTCAATGTGAAGAACAACACGAAGAAACAAAGCTTTGTTAGTACTCTGCATACACGCACTTAATTCAATGACACTGCACAGAGCACTACAAAAATCTTTTGCTTTGTATGAAAAAGCAGATTATTTTCTGCTGTAAACATGGCAGGTCTGGAAGGGGAGGTATTGGGTACTATCATTCCAGATAATACTGTGCATATCATAAACACCGGAGTTAAGCCTGTTTGGCTGTTTTGCCTGGGAAGAAATCCTATTCATGGTTTTAAAATGTTTTATCTTTTCCTCTAACCTTCATTCAAGAAATGAAATGACTTTGAAAATGCATTTCTTGGTGTTCCAAAGTTTTTTAATTCTTTATGAACTAATTTTTTGTGTTTTGGAAGGATGTTAAAGGGCATCACCAAACAATTACAATCTAAATACTATGCTAAACAAGCATTTTGCACACTCGCTTCCCTCAGTGTTTAGTATTTTTTAAAAATGAAATTGAGAGAAAAAAATTAGAAAACCATCTTTGAGGGGCAATTTTGCTGAAGGATATGTGTTCTGGGAAAGGCTTTTGGATCAATTCTCATGCCCCGTTAAGATAACAGCTGGAGGCATCACCATAGCCAGGAGTAAGTGCAGCTTTCTCTGCCGATCCCAGACATTTGTCCACAGACCTGGAGGATGAGGACATGTAGTCATCTGGATTGCAGTCCAGTGCTAGTCTTTTCTAAGGCTGTTTTTTTCCAACTAGTTTTGGCCACTCTGAGGGCTAAGATTGAAAAATGAACTTCCCCTGGCTACATGCTCTTGGCATCTCTCTTGCGCTAGCACTTGTGCTGTTACAATTACACAGGAAGTTAGAGAACTTATCCCAGTGAAAAGTCACAAAGAAAGGGGAAAAAAAACCCAGAAGGGAGCATATGAAGGCAGACTTGCTCTATGTGAAGCCCCAAGACCATCAATTGGTGTACCAAATTCCAGGCCGACATTTTTCGGCTTGTGAACCTTTAGAATATGTGGGAAAGCTACCCTGGTATGTCAGATGGACCTAGGTCTGCAGGCCTGCCTGCATTTCAGTTCTCACACTCAACAACTTTGCTAAAAACAAGTCAAATGAGGAACAGAACTGTATCTTTTAACAGTCTCAGTGAAGTGACCCCAAATTAACAGAATGTGCTGGTTTTGGCTGGGATAGAATTCATTTTCTTCATAGTAGCTGGTACAGGGCTATGTTTTGGATTTGTGCTGAAAACAGGGTTGATAATACAGGGATGTTTTTGTTACTGCTGAGCAGTGCTGACACAGAGTCAAGGCCTTTCCAGCTTCTCACACCGCCCCACCAGCGAGCAGGCTGGAGGTGCACAAGAAGTTGGGAGGGGACACAGCCAGGACAGCTGACCCCAACTGACCAAAGGGATATTCCACACCATATGACGTCACACTCAGCATATAAAGCTGGGGGAAGAAGAAGGAAGGGGGCACGTTCGGAGTGATGGCGACTGTCTTCCCAAGTAACCATTATGTGTGATGGAGCCCTGCTTTCCTGGAGATGGCTGAACACCTGCCTGCCCATGGGAAGGAGTGAATGAATTCCTTGTTTTGCTTTGCTTGCGTGCGTGGCTTTTGCTTTACCTATTAAACTGTCTTTATCTCAACCCACGAGTTTTCTCACTTTTACTCTTCCAATTCTCTCCCCCATCCCACCGGGGGGGAGTGAGCGAATGGCTGTGTGGTGCTTAGCTGCCGGCTGGGATTAAACCACAACACATAATTACCTTTTACTCAAGTCCCTTGTAACTCTCAAGTCTTTAAGCTGATTTTGCTCTGAGCATCTACCTTAAACAGTCACGAGACATTATTTTCTCTTGCTGAAAAGCCTGTTCAAGTGGTTCTTGATTTGCCCCACCCAGATTTGTAAGTTCACTGTTGTTTTAGCTGTGCTGGTGCATATGCCAGCAAACCCATGGTATAAATATAATGATAAAAATTGTTCAGGTTAAATAAAACAATTACATATTACCACTCTTTAAGCCTTTTTCTTCTTTTAAGCCAAATCATTGCTATAATTCAGTCGACAGCATAACCATCCAAATAGTTCTACTTGTACAACCAAAGGAGTGGTAAACTGCAATCATGGCATGACACTGCAGCAGTCCTTTAACGCGGTTTTGCCAACAGAGGAAATATAATTTCAAACTATACTCTTACAACAATTTGGGTGTCTCTATATGGGAATATTCAGAGAAACTAAAATGAGTTAATTACATTTGTTATTTCAATGTACAATTCAAGTATATTAACCTTATCTCAAAACCTCTCATCTAGGAATAAACAATCCAATTAAGCTTGTTTATGTTTTAATTTATTCAAGAAAATCAGTCGGAAATGAATTGAAGAGTACAGAGACTTTCTTACTTTCAAATAAAAGTGACCATGCATGGCATTTTTCAAATAAAAATGACCATGCATGGCATTTTTCAGGGAAACAGTTGATGTGATCTAAGCCTACTCATACCTAAATCTGAATTAAATTTCTTTTAGGTCTCATTAGGTCATAAGTGGGCTAAGCTAGTAAAAGGCAAGGCCACGCTACTTTTGAAGGGAGTAGCCATACAGAAATCTATTGTCCTTTAATGTACACAGAATTACTTCATAATGTTTACTGAATCATATAATTTATCTATGTATTCTTATTTAGAATTTTAGTTAATTAAAATCTGATAATGGATCGGGGAGGGAACTTTTGCTCAGAATCTTTTTGGTCAAATTGTCCTTATTAATCACAGTCTTCTGTAAGGCATACCAGAATTCAAGCAAATTTGTGTCAGTGAATTGTTTCTCTCTTTCAAAAATTGACTTCAAAATAACACCACCTGTTATTATCTGTTTTTCATACAAGTTCTGGTATGCAGTAGCTTCAGGCATCATGTTATAAAACAAGAAAGTAAATGCACTGTTTTGAAATCCTGCACTACTCAGCTGTTTTTTGGTGACATTCAACCCAGTCTCAGCCGAGGAAGATCCACCACAACATTTTCCCTATTCTATCCCACAGATTTTCTCCTTTTCAGAATTTCTCCTGCCCTCATTTTTAGACAGAAAGGCATCATAAGAAAAAAAATCTGTAAAAAATGTTTGGTTTAGAGCAACTGTTTCCCAGCTTACTGGCCTCACTGTATTTCCTCCACCCTCACAGCCTGCAACACTTCCAACACAGTCCACATAATTAAATATATGAATAAAACTTCTCTTTAGTTTTGACAATGTATTTGTTATGTTCTCTGAGCTTAACTTGAAAGCTATAAAGAGGTGTGTTAAAATCAAATGGTTTACAAATACAAAGTACAGTACCTACTGAAATACTTTGCAGAATTTTGTCACAATGTAACTGCTACAAATATAAATGTGTAAAATACCCCAAATTTAAAGTATCCTCTGACCTCTTTTTTGTCTAAAGCAGCATATTCAGCTTCAATGCTTTCAGCTTCAGGATCACGTGAAAATACCATTCGAGATTCCAGGTTAAGAGCCAGCTCTTTGTGATGTTGTTTCTCTGCACAGTCACATGGGGTATCTTTATTTTCATTTTCTGCAAACAAATCTCCACCATGTTTTACTAGAAGCTGAAAAGTAAAACAGCAAAGTAAACAGTTATTAATTACCAACTCAAATAATACCCTGAAGAAAAGGCATGTCAGTTAAGAAGAGAACAAAAAAAATATGAACAAGGAAAACAGAAAGAAGAGACAAATATAATAGCAATGGTCTTTGGGAAACAAAGATCCTCTATTGTTATTAAATAAATTACTGCTTGAATTCATACATAATTATACCTACCCACCGTAATTGCATGGAACCACAAAATCTCAGAAATATGTTACAAGGCAATGCTGCACAATGTCTCTGTTAGGTTTTAAACGCTAAAATTCTGCTCTACTGATATGGCCAGTGCTCCGTAGAAAATGAGGGGCCTGAGGTCATCAAGCAAGATGGAGGTAGATACACCTTTAAATATTCTTTATATATGGGTATAACTCCACCATTCTTCCCAGCACTGGTACACTGGTGGTGACAGAAAATGGGAGAATCCTTGGGTAGGAAGGAAGATGGGGTACCAATTCACAGGTAGCACATAATACTACTGGTAACTCTACCTTATTTTTGAGGACATGAGAAAAGTGAAATGAAATAATTCTAATATGGTCTAGTATTGTGCCACTTCACCAACCTTGTCTCTTGCCAGTAACCACCCAGAAATGTAGTCTCTAGCTAATAAACACTAATTGTGCTGCTTTCATTACCTTGCCAACTTTGCCCCCTGCTATAAACTGATCTGATATAAGCAAGGACAACAAATGCTACAGATTTTAAAGGCCAGCAGTGGACCATTTTGCTGATTTATTATGACGTCTTTATAACATGTGCTAAACTTCTAATGATGGAGCACCCGGGACAATCATTCACTACTAAAATGATTCACCTTATTTCTAAATAAAACTAAAATCTATAAACATCATCTTGCCTTCAGACCATGATGGCTGTAACAATGCTATCCTGTATTTTTAGCCAGGATATTTCAAAACTCAGCTTCTAATTTTTATACTTCTAAAAAAAATAAAATTTCCCCCAAATGATCTGTTCTCCACATAAACCTTTTAGATCATGATCAGTCACTTCTTACTTTTCTCTTTAGCAGATTTTATTTCCTTCACCTGTCACTGTAAAATACAGAATGTATTTTACAAACCTGCAATCATTCTTGTAGGTTCTTTGGAAACTTTTCCCACGTTCTCCAAAATAAAAAAAATGCAAACCCCAAAATACCACAAACCCGTGCAATAACAAAATTTAGTTGAGAAGATATCAGTGTCATTAAGTATGACACCATATTTTATCTTCATAGCAGCGTATCAGGCAGAAATAAAGATAGTACTAGGCTAATTATCAAGATACCCAGCCTACAGTTACCTTGTTCTATCTAAACTTCCTAACATTGCCAAAAACTTGAGTTTCACATTCTGTCTGTACATTTTAAACTCTAACAGAAATTTAACTGCAGCAACTAAGACACCTTCTGAGGAAGAAAAATAATAAATATACTTGAAAGAACAGTCTATAGACCTATGCAGCTCAAAATCTAATCCGCAAGATGAGGAATATGCGAATCAACAAGTTTTTAATAATGATGCCATATTTCTCTGGAAGCACTGTTAAAAAGGCCTGTGTCTCTTAAGTAATTAAAAGGAGATTAATAATTTAAATAATCACATTAATAATTTAAACAATTGCAAAAATGTCATTTAATATGCCAAATATGCTGTGATAGAATAGACTATATCTGCATAAAATCAAATCTATTCAGCATGAACGTTGTCTTTTTTCTATTCAGTATTTTAAGGTAAGCACATTAACGTTGCCCAAACTATCTTTAGCACTAGGTTCCTCACAGCTGTTCTGCTCAGAGGAGAAATTTAATACATGAATGGAGCAGTATCAAGACGGCACATTTGACTATCAACTCTGAACAAATGAACTAGTAGGTGGTTCACCCACAAGAGACTATGTTTGTTTTTTCCTTTCATTTTGTGGGTGTGGTAGGGATAGGGGAAGATACAATGCTGGGGCTTTCCTGAAAAGTTATGGAAAAAGGAGACGATTAAAGAGGAATGCTGCTCTGAAGTGAGAGTAACCACCACAAAACTGGGCAAAAGGCGCTCCTGGGGTTCTAAGTAACCTCCAGTTTACTGGAGAGAGGGAAGATGACTTGAGGATTAGGCAATTTGGGTTTTTTATCTCTTTTTGTTTTGTTAAGAATTTTAATCCTCAAATACTTCCAGGAACAAAGAGATCATTGTTAAACTCCTTCACCAGGCTCTGTTTCAGGCTTTTCCTAATGTAGCGTTCCTGTTCATAATCCTGTTCCTGTTGAAGGAGTTAGAAGGACTACAGACTATACTGGAGGACTTAAGATATCTCAGGTACTAATCGTAGGATCCAAGGTCCTCTACCCTACGGTAGGGCACATAACAAAGTTTGAACTTGGGGGTGTACTCTATGTTTCTAATGTAGAAACCATGCCTAGTTAGACTACGTAACTGTGTCCAAACTCTGGCAAATAGCAATCCATGTGGATCAGACTGTAAATTCTTCTTCAAAGACAAAGCGAATTAGAGTCAGAAATGGTTTAGTCAATTGAACAGTACGTATTGTCATGATAACATAACCCAGTTTATATAATTAAATGGGGAACTAGCAGTCTAGTAGCTGGATTCATCTAATAAATCATATCACAGACAGTGAGAAATAGAACGATAATTTGTGAAGAAACACAAACCATGAACTTTCATGATGAGTTTAAAACCAATTGATTTTACAGTCTGCAGTTAAAAGCTGCAGCCTAGCTCCAGAACCACAATTTAGTCTGCAGTGACTGTGATTCTTGCCGATATTATAGTCTGCCTGGATCTTACTGTGTGACCCCATTTGCTTCACGCTTTTGAAATTGAAACTTTTGAAGAACTGTGTCTACCTCTAATACCACTGTATAGCCCCATTTGGGGGCATGAGGCAGAAGATTCCTTGCTCAAATCCCTTGTAAATTTGAAGTCTATGTTACCTGGGGATCTCAAGTGCAGAGACACAGAACACAAAGAAATAAGCGTTTCTGTGGATAATGTAATTGTTCTTTTTTTTTTTGCAGTATATCTTGATATAGGTCCAACTGTAGGCACTTTACAAATCAGTGTAATAGACATAATATTTCACAAATGTGAGTAAGCAAGCTTGTAAATACCAGAAATTGAAATACGTTGGAAACTGGTTACTAAACTTTTCTTCTGTTCACCATTTCTCTACCAGAAGCAACCATTCTTATGTTAAACAATTTTATGTGAGTGTTTTTCACCAACTTTGCCCAAAAAGATCATTAAATGCTAAATCCTGGTATCTCCCATTTTCTGACATGACATGCACATTTGTCCTCTAATGTACAATAATGTTTAAAAGCAAATGGATCTTCTTGGGGAAGGCTAGATAGAACAACTGTGACTGAAAACCCCTGTAGCCAGAGTTTATCAGGCAGCTGGATCAAACAAGTGGCATTAAAAAAGAGAACAAGAGAAAAGTACAGAGCCATTTGCAATGAATATTTTTGTTTATCAAATCTAAAAAGAATTAAAAGTTGACAATCAAGATAAAAGCAGTATTAACATAGACCTAGAAGACAGCCTGATATTTGTTTACAAATCAATCGCATCAAAAGAGGCACTAAATCAATCATATAACCATACAAATAAAGAAAGATTCATTCTAGTTGACAGGAAGAGCAAGGCAGTACCTGTGTATAATTAATTTACCGTGTACATAATTAGCGGGGTCTGAGTATAATTCAGCTAGCAAAGACTGCACGGTGGCTTGCCTCCCTGGTGAAAATCAGTTAAGTGTGTAAATAATTTCTAGGGACATGTTGAAGACAAACTGCTAGTGTGGAGCTTGTGGAGCTGTAACAACATGGGGCAGAGAAGAGAGAAGGTACAGGGGCAAGATTCAGTCTGTGATACTGGAGGTTAAGTATCAGTATCTAACAGCAGCATCCTCTTAACTCCTCTCAGTACTAAGCAGGGGACCAGAGAGACAGAGGCTTAAGTTACAGCACAGAAAATGGCATAAGGAAGCTGAGTTTCCATTCGTTAGAAGTGCAGAAAACTAGGAAGGATGATCTTCGTACTAACAGAATGAAAGAAGTGTTGGCTACTGGAAATAAAAAGACACTATCTGAGCTTTTAAAGAGGGGACTAATGAAAAAACAGAAGATAAAGAGGAGCATCCAGTGCTCAGCTGATAGTGCACAGCTAAGGCTGAGGAACTGAAATGACAAATTTTAAATGAGAATTTTCAGACAATATCTGGAAACTTGACAGAATACAATCAGTGTAACAACGTAATACCACAGAACATATTATGTGAGACTCACAGAGAAGTTCACAGTATTGGAAGTGTGGTGCTATTTACCTTTAAATAAAAAAACCCAACCCAAACTCGCAGATAAATAAACTAACTCTATCAACAAATACCAGAGCATCCCAGTGGAATACAATTCTGGACCTAAACAAAAAAAAGCTTTGGTGACCACCTGACCAAAACTGTAACAATAAAAGTGACATGCTGACCATGAACAGAAATGTTGCAAGGGCAAAAATCACAAAAATAAAGGGAACTTCAGTGACTACGTCTCCCAAGTATACTGAGAAAATGCTATGCTAATACATGATGCTTAAATTAAAATTTCAGACTACATAAGTGATTGAATAATAAACAAAATAATTAGCAAACACGAGAGGAGAAGCAACTCCTGACTTTGCCCAGAGTAGTCTACAAGACCTAATTCAAAATGTTACCGTCGAAGAACCACTCAATAACAATTCCCAAAATGTACTTAGATTCACCATTCTTGCAGATGCAGAAGAAAGACAAATAATCCACTGCCTACTTTCAAAAAGTGGTACTAAATAAAAGTGTGGAAAAAAATTCTAGAAACATCAGAAGAATCTGTGAAGGTAGAACAACGGGACACAATCATACGGGAAATAAGAAGCTGAAGTTGTCTCCAGATGAAGAATATGTAAAGAACAAAATCTGGAAAAGGTAAATGTAAAATCACAATGAAGAAGGCTCTGAATGGTTTTTGAGCAGTATGCCAAGTGCATAACAACTCAGAATAAATCATTTTAAAACATCACACAGTAAAGCTGTCAATGTGTTTGTAAAGTCGGTCGCTGGACAAAGTGCAAAAGCAATCTCAAATAACATAAAGCAGAAAAGTGATATGAATTGTTGGAGTCCAGATTCTCTGTGGATGTACCGCACATGCTTTACGAAGGACAGAAAAGAAAGTCTGTTTCAAATTGAAGTCTCAGCACAAGAGGTTCTAGAACAACCTGTAAACCAAATAATACCCAGCACCAGATGGTACTTATTCATGAGTCCTAATGGAACTCAAATATGAACTATTTATTATAATATGTAACTTATTGCTTAAATCTGTCATGGTACAAGATTAGAAGGTGGTAAAAGTAACACCAATACTAAAAATAGCTCCAGAGAAAATCAGGAAAGCACAGGGAGAGTGTCAGTTTTTACTGCAGAGAGAGGTCACCAGTGAAGTCCCACAGGTCCTGGGACCTGACTGTTTAAGATATGCAGAAGTTATCTAGAAAAGCAGGTGAATAATGAGGTGATAAACTTTGCTGATGATACTAAGTTAATGAGTGAAGTGTAGTCTCAATAACCATGAAGTTATACAGAGAAGAAAAATAACCTAAATTTTACATATAAATGCTGAACTCTGAATTAATCGTTACCATTCAAAATACAAATCTTGATGTTATAATAGACAGGCTTATGAAAATGTTAGTTGTTTTTGAAAATGTTAGATGTCTGTTCTTGTGTTCTTTAAATTAAATTACCAGCACAATTAAATACTAGTCCTCATTGCTTGGTATAGTTCAAAAATAAATTTGGTGGGAGACCTTCAAAGTCATTATGATTCCCAATTATTATTATCCACTACTTTCACAAACATTAAAGTAATTTTTAATTTGTAAAAAGGTAATTATCTTTAAGTATGTTAGCACAGATGTATGGCATCCTCTAAAAAAGCTGGGCACTGTAAATTAAAGACATCAAACTTGTTCTTGAAACATGGACAGCATTTCCCAGTCTCAGCTACAGAGCAGAATAAAAAGAGCTCTAGTTTTCTCTCAGGCAGTTATTTCACTTCTCTTTACACATACAGGTATGCCTATGCCTACCTTTAAAACTGTTTCTCCAGTGTTACAGTCTTGTAATTATTTCCAATTTTTATAAGCCTACACAAGTCGTCTTCATGCTGAGGAGTTTATGTCATGAAGTTACTATATATGTAATCCATTTTTTTTCATTGTTCTCTACAGACAGTGTACGTTTTGGGCTGTTTATCTTTGTAATTTTTCCAATTAATGAAAAATAGAATTAAAAAGTTATTTCAATATACTATATCTGATTTTTTTCTCTGAAACAGCTTTATGAAACACTCCATGTGTCATTTACTAATACCAGTATATAGACTTGTGATTATATATGAACTTTTACCTCGACACAGGTTTTCATCCCTGAGGCAGCAGCATAGTGCAAAGGTGTATTTTTTTTGTTATCAACAGCATCAATGGCTGCTCGTTCATATTGTCCTTCATCCAGCTTTGCTCCCTTCCACTTCAGGATCATTTGCAGACAATCTGCTCTTCTGCAGTCATCTTCTGAGGGTCGTGTCAGGCGAGGATGAAGAGCTCCTTCCGAGATCATGATCTGAGGTCCCATACACAGTAAGTGCATAGATGTCTCATTGTGCACATTCCGTTTATTTGGGTTACCATCTCTAACAAAAAGGAAGGTTCTGCAAGGGGGGAAAAATGGAAGAAAAATAATTAGCACACAATTCCACTCATTTTCTTGAAGTGGGAAGGGTCTATTATGACAGCTCTTTTTTCTTCTTGCCAAGATTTTTATTAGCCATGTTAGTGATAAACATTCTTAGTAGATAATTTCTCTTAGGATTCAAGAGCCAAGATCTGGATGAATTAGTGAAATATCATTAAGTACCATATATAATTACTTTGTCAGTGTATGACATAAATTTTAGTTGGCAAAGTTTATTCCACAATTCTGTGTTGTATTGCAATAAATGTTATTAAGTCACAAGATTGATGAAATAGATGCTTTCTTTTTTCTACTCTGTGTTCTGAATAGTAGTGCATTTGGTAGTTTGCAAACAGATAATGCTAGAGCAATTTCTTAAAAATTCATTCTCCTTTCCCGTATCTTTAGTCAGATGTCAAGGCAGTACTTACTACTTCTTGAAAACATATGAGGTAACTTTTCCTGCTAGCACTGCATGCATTGAGGAAAGACTATTTGCTTTCTCGCTCTAGAATATATGGAAGTGCAACGTAACACAAACCCTCACCGATGCACATGACAGAGGCTGGCAAGAATTTAAGTGTTCTCTTGAATGCTTTAGAGGCAGTTCAAAGTGGACAATAAACTATTCCGGCAAAAAGGACCAGCTTAGGAATGAAAGGGAAACAACAGACTGATTCCTGGAACCACAACTCTGATTCCTGACAGCTCCTGAGACAACACAGCTCTCTGCTGCTTCTTGCCAGCAAGGAATTATATTAGTTACAATCCAGCTCTGAAATGGAAGAACTGAGACGTATCATACAAGCCCTGTGAATCCAAACTTGCTTTAGCCTTTTGAGGTATACTAAAATAGTAATTTTTTTCTTAAGGGAAAGTGAATGGTAGGAAATGGCAGAGAAGAAAGACCGCCTCTTTGTAGGACTGGAGTCAGAGAGATGCAATGGTGAAAGAACTCCCTGCGAAGGTAGGAAGGACAGTTCCCAGAGAGGTAATACCAGGCTAAATCAGAAGCATGGCACACACGTTCAAGAAGTCACTGCAGAAACACTTGCACTGTTCCCATAAGCCCCCTCACACGTAAAACCAGCAGAAGTCACTGTTCATCTCCTCTCCAGGCTGTTCCCTGACTCCGAACAGTTTGCAAATATGAAAAAAACAGTTATTCTGGAATCCTCATTAAGTCAATACAGGGGACCAGCTTCCACCCTCCCTGCCCTCACCCCTCAATCACTTTCAGTTTAAAACAGGCAGCTATGCCACCTGAAGGCAGGCACTGCCTAAATACAAAACCAGACCATACTGCTCTTGGTGAACAGCGGAGAGCAGAAGAACTTGGTAACCAAATTGACAAAAGAAAACGTTATTTACCTCAGTTATTGCCTGTGCTATCGTTACGAGTCTAAATGCCACCTCCCCTTTCCGTTGTCCCTGAATACATCCCACCAGGCACTACACAGTATGCCTTTCTCTCTCTCACAGTTCTCCCATGCTTCGTTCAGGACAAAGAATAATCCTGAAACTATTTTATTAATAAAGGAAGAGGCTATATAGGGTTGGTGTGGAATTTCACTTTCGGAAATTATTGAAAACAGACTGGACAAGTATTTCAGTAGAAAAAATTTGGCACAACTGATCTGGTCCTGCGATGGAAGGATGTCTTGATGATAGCCATTTGGTCAGCCGGATTTCTGTCCTTTCTTGCCTCTGAAAATCTCTGAACAGTTTGAGTTCAAAATGAAACTTATTACTAAAATACTGTTCTTTTAAATAAGGGGTAACAAGTATTCAGAGGAAAAGATAAAAACAAAACAGTCTCCTCTTTGTTGCCCTATTTTGGCAGCAAAAATGTTCCTTAGAGAAATCTCTCTTTCATTCCATGATAGATGATATGATAGACGCATTTGTTAGGAAATATGAATATGCCAAACTTGAGATTAAAGATGGTGCCAAAAAAGTGACAGCACATTTTGTTGGCTTGGTTTTTTTTTGTTTTCAGAGGAATGCTTCACAGCCAATTACATGAAATAATAATACTAACCAGTATCAAACACTATCCCAAATAAATTTGCTTGTTTGAATTAGCTTTACATAGTATGATACTAGAGACAGAAAGAAAGGAGGGGAAGGAAGGTGGGAAAGAACAGAGAGACAGAAGGAGGGAAAGGAGAGGGAGGGAGGGAGGGAGGGAGGGAAGGAAGGAAGGAAGGGAGGAGGAAGGAAGGAAGGAAGGAAGGAAGGAAGGAAGGAAGGAAGGAAGGAAGGAAGGAAGGAGAAAAGATAACTCATTGGGGGATGAGGAGATTAATTCTATAGAGGCTTTGATATGAGAATGCTAGATGCCTTAGGTATGAGGTTTTGCAGGTACTCACTGCAAAACCTGGATATAGAAAATACAAGGCTAAATCTAAGCCATCTTGGTCTCTGTGAGATGTAGCTTTGGAGACTCACTAAAATCTGAGCTTCTCTACTTTTGCAATAAAATCCGTTTTATTGTACACCAGTATCTTTTCTTCTGTTAACCCCCTTTCACAATTTCATTTGTTATATTTTTACTTCAAGTAAAGATCACCCCCAACTTAGCCTTCAATGCATTTGTAAACTGCAGTATGAACAGAAAAATGTAAAGTTGTTCATTTTTCAATTCAGAGTCCTTAAGTCAAGAATAAATAAAGTTGGGTTTTTTTTATTTTATTACTCCCTCCTCCCCCTACCCATGGCATTTACTATCCATATGCCTCCTAATGTTCCATCCCAAAACTCTTGCATCTTCCTTAAGAAAAAAAAAAAAAGAGATCACAGCACTGGGAAGAAAGAGGCAGCGGCTAAAGATTGTGAAAGACTTCATCTGTGGCTCCTTTTTCAGTAGGTTTTAAAACTAGATAACACTGATGTTCAAGTCAGTAGGCCTAGCTATTTCTACCTGACATCTGTAACACAAAGTTTGTAAAGGTAGCAGACACCTGTTACCTTCAAATTTGCTGTGGAGTAAGTAGAGAAGAAAGGGTGATAAAGAAGGGATCAGATCCCTTCTACAATCACTACAGTGGACTGCCGTACAGTAGCAAAAATACCAGTTTTTTGAACGCAGAAACATTCAG